GATTGTAGGCTTTTTGACTGTTCATTTCACGAGGAGGTTTTTCTATTAGCCGAGTGCCACTCAAGGGTTCCATGCAGTACATTAGTCATGAGCGCATACCTATCTGGAAAGCAGATTTCCATCTAGAAGAGTGGGCCACTCATACTGATAGTGGCCCATACCCAGATTAAATTATGATTCTCCTATCTACTGCAAATAAGGACTAAAGCCCCCCGTCTATCTATGGATTTGGTATGATAACCCATATTTCTCCTGGTAGATTTGTATTATCTCCCTAAATATAAGAGAACCACATCCTGAACTTCCTTATTATATTTTTAAATTAATTCTGCAATAAAAGCAACAGGCAGACCAAATGTAGAACTTGTGGGAGCAATCAACCACACAAAGCTCAGTAATTTCTGTGTAGCTTCTATAAAGGTAACCCCCTTTAGGCCCATCCACATAAACATAGGAAGGTGCAATAGGAGCCAGCGTTGCATAGAGGTTTGAGTGTTGGAATACAACTCTGGAGGTCAGGGTTCGATTCCCAGCTCGGTCATGAAACCCACTAGGTGACCTTGGGGAAGTCACATGCTCTCAGCCTCAGGGGAAGGCAATGGCAAACCTCCTCTGAACAAATCTTGCCAAGAAAACCCCATGACAGGTTCACCTTAGGGTCACCATAAGTCGGTAACAACTAGAAGGCACACACATGCACAGGTACATTACACTAAGCATTGTACACTGTCCATTGTCCATTGTCCATTGGTTCGTCCAGTTCAATATAATCTGTACCAATAGTCTCTCCAGGGATTTGGTCAGCCTGACTTGGAATAGAACTTGGAAAGTTACTTTTCAAAAGTACATAATAACAGTAAATAATTCCTGATCTTTCTCTCACCAAGTTATAATCATAATGTTATTGAGCTATGTTTTATTTATTAGGACAACAAATGAATTACAATTAACTAGAGAGTTGAAAGGAGTTACTTCTAAATAGTGATCTGTAGATGTTAGGGGCTGAACCTATGAGTTTGTGTAACACATATGCTCTACACTGAATTATAGAATAGCAAGGTGCAAAACCTGACTCTTTCTTCTTGGAGATATCTGGGCTCTTTCTTTTAAAAAAGTAAATCAATAGCATCCAGTGTTCAGGATATTTAACTTTCAGCGCAGATTTAAACAATGGTTAACAATCTTTGTTAGCTGGATTGCTCTCTGTTAGATATGCATGCCATTCTCTACTCAGAATCACAGGATGCAGTACAAATTAATTTAATATCCTAGTATGAGCTACAAGAATGCAGAAAGACACTATCAGTGGCCAAACAGTAAGACAAGAAACAACAGATGACAGAGGAAACACTTCAAGCAGTGAAGGACAAAAGAGAGAGAGAGAGAGAGAGAAGGAAAAGAAAAGAGATAGGATTAAAACAGACCATGAATGCAGCTGTACAATAACTAGTGTGCAAGGTTAAAGAGAACTGCTACAATGAGTAATGCAGAGAAATAGAAGACAACAATTAACAAAAAGGAAGAATGAGAGAACTCTTCCACGACATCTGGGAACTAAAAGGGAAATTCAGACCAAGGACCGGGATCCTCTATGGCAAGAAAAAGGACATACTTCAAGACCAAGAAGAACTAAAAAGATGTTGGATGCAATACACAGAGGAGTTATGTAAAAGGTATGAAAAAATGAATGACACATGGAACGAAGAGCTATATGAAGATGTACTTTGAATTCTAAAAAGTGAAGTGGAAACTGTAATAAGAGAAATTGGGGAAAATAAGGGCCTTTGCAGACTGCCAGAAATAGTGCACATTAAATTGAGGCACTGCCCTTGCTCAGTGCTAGGGAGTCATGGGAATTGTATTTTTTTCTGAGACATTGAGCCTTCTCTGTCAGAGAGCTCTGGTGCCACAATAAATTACAGTTCCCATGATTCCCTAGCCCTGAGCCAGGGCAGTGCCTCAATTTAATGTGCACTATTTCTGGCAGTCTGCAAAGGCCCTAAATCACTGGGAACAGATGATATTTCAATTGAATTGATACAATCCAGACATACAGAATCAACTCTAGTGTCAACTAATATATGCCAACAAATATGGAAAACAAAATGGTGGCCAATGGACTGGAAATGATCAATATACATCCCCATCCACAAAAAAGGAAACACAAAAGACTGCAGCAGCTATAGGACCATAGCATTAATTTCCCACACAAGCATAACTATGATCAACATTCTGCAGCAGAGACTCCAATCATACATGAAGAGAGAACTCCCAGAGGTGGGGTTCAAGAAAGGAAGAGGCACTAGGGCGAGCATCACAAACATACAATGGCTAATGGAGTGCACCAAGGAATTCCAGCAAAAAAAAAAAAAATCAGCTTTCTGGACTATAACAACACGTTTGACTGCATAGATCATGAACAGTTATGGAACGCTCTTAAATACATGGGAGTGCCACTACATCTGCTAGTCCTGATGAAAAATCTGTACTTAAGCAAGAGGCTACTCTCAGAACAGAATATGGAGAAACAGAATGGTTCCGACTAGGCAAAGGGACCAGGCAAAGCTGCATTCTATCACCCTATTTGTTCAACTTGTATGCAGAAAATTTTATATGAAGATCAGGTTTAGACTCAAAAGAAGGAGGAAGGAAGAAAGGAAGAAGAAAAAATAACAATATAAGATGACACCATACTACTAGCAGAAAACATCACAGAACAATTATTACAGAAGGTCAAAGATGAAATTGTAAAGACAGGCTTATTGCATAACATAAAGAAAACAAAAAATGATGACCATGGAAGATCTACATAAATTTAACCTAGACAATGAGGAAATCAAAACAGTTAAAGATTCCCCCTACCTTGGGTCAAACATTGATCTAAATGGAAACTGCAGTCAAGAAATAAGAAGAAGACTAGGAATGGAAAGAGAGGTGATGAAAGAACTAGACAAGTGTAAAGTGTAAACAGAGCACTAAAGTGAGAATCATCCAAGCCATTATATTCCCCATTACCATGTATGAATGTGAGAGCTGGATCGTGAAGAAAGCTGACAGAAAGAAAATGAATTCATCTGAGATGTGGTCCTGGAGAAAAGTGCTGAGGATAACTTAGAGGGGTTGCAGACTACCAGAAATAGTGCAAATTGAGTCCAGTTTTAGGGTTAGGGTTGGTGCTAGGGAATCATGGGAATTGGTTTTTTCCTGAGACATTAAGCCTTCTCTGTCAGAGAGCTCTAGTGCCATAATAAAATACAGGTCCCATGATTCCCTAACCCTAACCCTAAAAGTGGACTCAATTTGCACTATTTCTGGCAGTCTGCAACCCCCCTTAGACAGCCAAAAAGAAAAACAAATGGGTCTTAGAACAGTTCAAACCTGAAAACTCTCTAGAAGCCAAGATGATCAAATTGAGGCTGTCATACTTTTACCACATCATGGGAAGGCAGAACTCATTAGAAAAGACAGTAATGCTAGGAAAGGTAGAGGGCAGAAGAAAGAGAGGTAGACCACATGCTGGATGGCTAGACTCAATCAGAGAAAACACAGGCATGAATTTACAGGACTTAAGCAGAGCAATAGAGGACAAGGTGGCTTGGAGACATTTCATTCACAGAGTCGCCATGAGTTGGGGTTGATTCAAAGTCAGTCAACAACAACAACAACAACAAGCTCAGAATACAATGGTTCAACATTCCCCAGTAGGTTTGACAGCTTACTATCAAGCCTACCATCAATTTAGCTTTCACCATTCCTGTCTGATATGCACAGTATTTGGAAAGGTTATTTTGGAGGTGACACCTTCCAGAATCTTCCAGCCAGCACAGCCACTGCTCAGAGCTGTAGTCTTAATAGGTAACTTTCGTAGATTTGGATATTCATGCATGATTGTTTTTGACTGAGCAGCATATTTTTAATTCAACAATGGGTTTCTGCCTGCAATGAGTTTTTTTAGGAATGGGAGCTCACATAGTACATGCCAAGATGAAGTCTACCATCACAGAGATCCTGTTTCTTCTGTTGGCTGCACTTCCTCTCCTGGAAGATACAACCAGCCCTTTCTATTAGGATTGGCATTCACTTTGTGTTGGTGGCTTGATTTTTGCTGGTGTTCTCTGTTTCCTTGGAATTGTTACCTGATTGAGTGGAAAGTGCAAATGCAAACCCAAGCAGAGAACCAGTGTGGAGATCAGTGTGGCACCACAGACTCCTCTTTTGGGAGATACAAGTGAGTGATGAGTCAAGATACACAAGATATGAATATGCACAATTTTCAGTCTTGTTTCACATTTGCTGAAACATCTCTCCTCCACCCTCAGTTGAACTTGAAATTCTAGTTTTTAAAAACTTTGTCCCATCACCCCTGAAGATAGAATTTTCTATCTCCAGAAACTGGAGAGTTTAAAAACCAAAGCTCAACAGCTCTATTGGAAGCAGGAACTTCTGCATGCACATCCAAAAAGACAAAGTTGGCAGGCCACACTGTAGGCAAGCAACTGCAGCTTTCACAGCAAATGGTTTTCCCTTCCCATTGCTTCCTGGGGAGGGCAGAGGAGAATGAATTGTTAAATATAAGCCCAGTGGTCTGGTGGTAATCTGGATAGCTGCTGGTGAGGTCGGCTTGCCAGCTTGCAAACAGTGGAGCTGCTTGAGCCTTGCTCTTTATTTCAGCTGGCCAAATAAATATGAACTAGACACCTGGGGGGTGAAATTTTTGAACACTCAACATAATGAGTCTGAAAGTCAAAACATTCACACTGGCTAATGACTGCTGAAATGCATGATGTGCCACGTCTGTGATGGCAGGTTTATTTCTATAATGGATCTATCACTGCAAATGGCTCAGCAGACATTTGCACAACCCAATTCCCAACAATATGGCGAATGGGGAGGAAACCGGATGAGGCACTTCATCAGCAGAAGGTTGGGTTTGTTCTTTTGTTTTCTGCCAATGCCAACGATAACCATTAAACCTCAACTCAGGTTCTGTTACCACTTGGCACCTGTTTTGTTGGTAACATCCTTTGCATAGCTTCCATGATTGAAGAGACCATGCTTAAATGCAGAACATCTCCATTCCAATTCCTGGTTCATAAAATGATCAGCTAGCAGGTGGGATAAAAGATGTTTCTCCATCTGAAATCCTGGAGAGCTATTGCAGCCAGAGAAGATAATAGTAAGCTAGGTAGACAAGTAGGGCAACCTAATACAAGACATGTCCTAGTTGGTTTTCATCTCAGTACAAAATGAGGAATGTTACTGAAATTCCTCCCAATTTTGTCCTAGATCTTTGACATTCATATAATCTATTTCTTGCTTCTGTCTGTGGAATTGAAACCTTGGGCATGTCTTGTTGTATGGCTCCAAGTCATTTTCGACTTATGGCAACCCTAAGACAAACCTATCATGGGGTTTTCTTGGCAAGTTTCTTTGGGGGGGGGGGGGGGGGGGGGGGGGGTTGCCATTGCCATCCTCTGAAGCTGAGAGACTGTGATATGGCCAAGCTCACCCAGTGGGTTTCCTTGGCCCAGCCAAGATTCG